GTTGTATCTGTTTTATCAATTCTTCTCTTATCATACCTCGCTGGAGCATGCATGGCACAACTACCTTATCGACTACACCAAAGTGAAGAAACGTATACATGTATAGTACGTTTGCAGTGTTGCCACATCTGTTTCCATATGCATGGCAATTGGTGTTCGCAGTTCACACAATCATATATCTGCTTTCATCCGTGTACGCTACCGCTTCGGTGCTTTCCACCAACAATTCACGTATTCTGACGCGAGTCCCGAGTAATCTGATAGTCACAACCAGAAGATTGAGTTCGAATCCCACGGGGACAATTTTATTTTTTATTCTTAATCAATTCGTAATTTTACTTTGGAAATGTTTAGATGTTACAAAATTCAATGAACCTGCATTACAATTACCTCCTCTTCGATTTAGATGAGTTTTGGATATGTTATAGAAATCGATATGTTGAACAACTTTTCCTTGGACATATAAACGGCGGCCCTGCTTAGTTAGTTTCCGAGATATTCGTGGAAAACTTTCGATAGTAACACATTGAATTCTGCGACAGCACATTTCTGTTTAGAAACGAGAGTCTAGGGAACGTAATGGCTCTGTTTACAGCTGCACATACGAGACTCCAGAAAATGTCTATTAAAACTCAATTAAAAATGAATATTATTGATATATTAGGTTAGGATTAGGTTATATATTTAAATCCGGGCGCTGTAAGGCGGCCGGCAACACTTTCGTGACAATGATAAATTAATTACAAAAGTAATTATAAATTGAAATCTTAATACCTAAATCTTATAAATCTTTTACCAGGATATTTGTAACATTTTTCTGATTAAAATGACATCAAACGCGATATAATTTGGACTATATTTACAAGTTGACGATAATAAGTATCGAACACGGGGAAGGATGGCGAATGAAAAAGAAAGAGAATCCGCGATCGTAACAATCCGCAGTCCTTTTTCCATTCGCTGTCCTTTTCTAACAATGTAAGAAGTTTATGTTTATTTGTTTCTAGCGTTACGTTCTTCCAGTTCACGTCAGTCTAAAGAACTTATGCAAGCGGTGCAAACGTGTGATATACAAATTTGTAACCGCTTTCAGTGTTCAAAAAATGGTATTTCGTGATACGCGCGCTAGATATAAAAAATGTGTTTATTGCGGTTGTGGTGTTACGTCGCGTAACAGAACAACTGAGACATTACATTCATTCCCAGTTGCAGACAATGATCGGTTGATACAGTTGTAACCGTACATTTGTACAGTTACATAGTACAGTACAAAGTAGTATAGATTTTTCTTGGGAGATCGGAACTATAGCGATGGTATGTGCTATCCCTACTTATTTGTCTCAGTGGAGCGCGTGCGCGAATCCCCTCCTTCGAACGCCGGATCGAAGGAGCTCAGTGTCGATCCATCGATCGACACTCTGGTCCCAAACGACAAGCAGAACGGACGCTTTCGCCTACGGCTCTCTTCCTAGAGACAACCGTCTTTAGATTGCGATCCAGCAAGTCGTGACTAGAGCACGAGCTTGGACATCTCCCTTTCATTTAGTAGTGGCCTTCTATCTTGGGACTCAGCACCCTCGAAAGATCGCTCTACACAGGCATATCCGAGACGTCGTTGATTCCTAGGGAAACCTAGTCGAATCATCATCGTTCTGCTTGTGCTCTGGCAATTTTACATTGCAATTTGGAGGGCCGTGATCTCGCTCTTGGCAGTCTTAATTTCTTCCTTGAGTACGCCGTGTACGACAGGAAGAACGTTGACGGATTCCGGCAAATCCACGGTTATCGGATACTCTTAACCCCTTAACGTACGCCCCCGTGACGTTCACGAGCGCTTCTTACTGGCAATTTTGTACGCGCCCGTGACAGTCACGAGCGCGCCTTATTGGCTATTTTGAACGCTCGTTCGACGCGGACGGTTTCTAATATTTGTATAGAAACCTGTACAAAAATACGGGTAACGGCCGTTACGGCGTAACGTCCAAAAGCTAGAAAAACATGTGTTCTAACATAACAGCCTTTATCTGAAATTGAAATAGTATCATTCGCGAAATATGATCTGGCAGGCACGTGCGTCTGACCATCCGTGCGGATTTGAGATGTACATGTCAATCGTAGTCGTCACATAAAGGCAAACAACCAATTAGTGTTCGGGTAAAGAAATCACACCCCCCCTCTCCCCCACCAGGGTCCCAAGTCAATATAAGTGCCCATCAGGAGCACCGTAACAGACACTCTCTGCTCCAAAACTTCTCGAGATAGAGAACTGACAGTTCCAGCCAGCCAGTGATGCTGAGCATTTTATGAAAGTTTGCTTTCAAATTAGTCTAAAATTGTTGCTCAAGCCAAAATATTCATCATAATTATTTGGTAGGTCAATTTTGTATATCATAATACGTAATATAAATATTTTATTTTATTTTATTGAATTTCTTTATCGTAATTGAGTTATAAGAACATATTCAATTTTATACAAGTGAATTTTCTTGATTGTTTTATTTTGTATATGTATATTTCAGTACAACCCTTTGAAAATGAGCGATAGTGATTCAGAATATGCCAATCTATCGCAAAGTGGTTCCGAAGAAAGTGATAGTGAAATTGAAATTGAATCCGAGGAAAGCGACGATAACGTCTATTTGGATTTTGCGGGAAATTGGCATGTTATTAGCAATCAGTCGGTCCCTGCACCACCAAGATATCCATTTATTGGAGCTCCTGGCTGCACTTTTGCACCGCCAGAACAACTTGATGTTTTTTTATATTATCAATTATTTTTTGATAATTCTCTGATCAACCACATTGTTACGGAAACGAATAGATTTGCGCAACAGCAGCGAGGACTAGCGTCAAGATCATGGTCGCCAGTTACTTTTGAAGAAATGCACGTTTTTCTTGCAATGAAAATTCTTCAAGGAATTGTGATCAAACCAGAGGAAAGAATGTACTGGACAACTTCAGAAGTGTTTGAAACATCCATCTTCTCGAATCTATTCCCTTACAGAAGATATTACGATATTCAAAGGAATTTGCATTTTTGCAACAATGAAGACTACAATCCTGAAACTCATCCACAGCCCAAACTAAATAAAATATGGCCTGTCTTCAAGAGCATAAATAATAAATGTAGCTCATTATATATTCCCGAAAGGGACATCAGCATCGATGAAAGTCTGATGCTGTATAAAGGGCGTCTAAGTTGGGTAAAATATATCCCACTGAAAAGGGCTCGATTTGGAATCAAACTCTATTGTCTATGCGAGTCAAAGTCTGGATATTTATACTCCAGTATAATATATACAGGGAAAGGTACAAAAATAAATGATAAATACAAGGATTTACCTATGTCTTCCCAAGTTGTATTATCACTTATGGAACCACTGTTTGGTATGGGATATTGCCTAACAACGGACAATTTTTATACGTCCCCTCAGTTAGCAGACTTACTTACCAAACAGAAAACCGACACGTATGGGACTTTGCGTGTGAATCGTAAAGACGTTCCCTTGGAATTGCAAAAGAAAAAGTTGAAGAAGGGAGAAACGATTGCATTTCAAAAGGGCAAAGTAATGGTGCTAAAATGGAAAGATAAGAAAGACGTTTGTCTTCTATCTACAATCCATAATCCACTAATGGAGGCAACAAAAAAAAGTGACAGAGAGGGAAATGCCATTTCCAAACCGAAAGTCGTCGTCGACTATAATGATACAATGGGAGGTGTAGATCGGCTGGATCAACATCTTCAAGACTATCCATCCATGAAAAAGAGGGGGAAAAAATACTACAAAAAAGTATTTTTCATTTATTAGATATTTCGCTGTGGAACGCATTTGTGTTGTACCAAAAAAACGGAGGCCAAAAGAGCAATTTGGAATTTAGAAAAACCTTGATAGAGAGCATAATTGGAAAATTTCATACACCTACTAAAAAAGGTGGAAGACCTAGTATTCAACCTAGTCCAATGCGTCTAATTGAGAGGCACTTTCCCGAATATGTTCCACCAACTGAAAAAAAGGATAACCCATATAGGTGTTGCGCTGTATGTTGCAGCAAAAGAAATAAGAATGGAAAGAAAATCCGGAAAGAGACAAGATATTTTTGTAAACCTTGTAATGTGGCATTGTGCGCCGTGCCATGTTTCATGGTGTACCACACACAATTAAATTTTTAGTGTACCTTTATATGATATAAAAATAAAATATTTTTCTATAACAAATTTTTTATAATATATGTACGTGATATTTAACGAATAAAGACCTGTTTGATCGTTTCGCCCCTTAACCGGGAAAGGGGTTAGAGAACGGATTCGGCTGAAAGTTTTTGCCGGTGCGCGACCTTGCCGAAGCGATCCCTTCCGATGGAGCAACCGCGTATAGAAAAAGGGTGCGAAATGATCACGGAGGATCTTTGATTCTAAGAATTGTATTTGAATAAAGAGAAATCCAAAGAAAAGTTTAACAGTTCTTGCTAACCGAAGCAGATTGTTCGAATTTCTGCTAAACTTGTACGTTAAGCCGAGTATAAGAAAAGCAAGTATGCGGCGGCATATTTATATTATGGTTCCCTCGTCCCCGCCGTCGCCCGCCGGTCCAGCAGCCCAGTCGGCTCGCTACGTCGGCCAACGGAGCGAGAGAGATGGCTGGAGGCCGGCGGAACGAACAGCAGAGACGAAGGAAGCGATCTAGAAATTTCTAGATGACTCGTTCGACGCTCGAACATACCGCCCGCCTTCTTTGGACGGCAAAGAAGCAGAAAGCAAGAAGCACTCATGCATCAAACAAATCCATTCATAAAGCTAACCTTAATGTGAACAGTAAAGTTACGTGCATCAAACCGTTGAACACAGTGCGAGGTGCATAAAAATTAAAAGACTTACAACTAACGTAATACAAAGGTAAGTAATTATACTAAAGAACATATATAAGTGATTAAATCGATTACGGCGTCAAACCGCCCGCCATGATGATATAAATTTTTTCTCCACGCGCGAAACGGAAAATTTACGTGGAAGTAGGTGAAGTGACGTCAGCAGAGGGCACCGGGAGGGGGCACAACTTGACGATTGGTCTGGTGACGGAACCGCTAGTAGTTTTCAAGGTGGCTACTCTTACTCGTCCATCTGGCCCTGGATGAAGGGCTTCAACCCGGCCCATCGGCCATTTTGCCGGTGGTTGCAACTCGTCGCGTAGTAACACTAGTGTCCCCAGCTTCAGGTTCTCCTTCTGCTGACGCCACTTGGGAAGTTGCTGCAAATGCTGCAGATATTCCCGCCTCCACCTGTGCCAAAAGTGAGAACGTAATGCAGATATTTGTCGCCAGCGCGAAATAAGAGAAATATCATGCGAGTCGGATTCTGGATCCGGAACGATACAAGTGGGTTCACCGATTAAAAAGTGTCCGGGTGTTAATGCCGACAGGTCCGAGGGGTCGTCGGAAAGTGGATGTAGCGGCCGTGAATTTACGCAAGCTTCCACCTGGCACAGAAGCGTCGTCATCTCCTCGAAGGTAAGCGTGGCGTTTTCGACGATTCTTCGCAAATGATGTTTAACCGTTCTAACTCCTGCCTCCCATAGGCCCCCGAAGTGCGGAGCATACGGAGGGATGAAGCTCCAATCCGTGCCTTCGGCTGCCAGCGAAGCTGCGGCGTTTAGGTAGAAGGCGGAAGCGCCGCGGAACATGTTGCGCAACTCCCGGTCCGCTCCGTGGAAGACGGTCCCATTATCGCTCAACATCGTGGCGCAGCGGCCTCGGCGACTGATGAACCTGCGAAAAGCGGCTAGGAATGAGGCAGAGGTAAGATCTGAGACAGCTTCCAGATGAATCGCGCGAGTACTAAGGCAAATGAACAGCGCTATATATCCCTTGTAGGATTTGTGTCCTCTTCCTGGCGATGTTCGCAGCTTCACCGGTCCTGCGTAGTCCACTCCCGTAGAAAGGAAGGGTCGGCGGGGAGTGATGCGCTCGATCGGTAAGGGGCCCATCAACTGCGTGGTCGGCCTTCCACTGTAGCGAGCACATTTTACGCACCCCTTAATGACGTCTCGCACTAGAGAGCGGCCATGGATGATCCAGTAGCGTCGCGCCAGCAGGCTCCTGGTGAGTTGTGGTCCTCCGTGTAAAGTACGGAGATGGGCATCTCGCACCAAAAGAGTAGCCAACGGATTTTTCTTCCCGATGATGTAAGGGTGCCTCTCATTATAGGGAAGGGAGGCTTGGTCCAGGCGGCCTCCGACGCGTAGCAGCCCTTGGTCATCCAGGAAGGGCCTCAAGGCGATGAGGGTCGACGATCGCCGTACCTCTTTGTGCTGCCGGAGCTGGTCGACCTCTGCGTGGAAGTTGGACTTCTGAGCTAGGCCGATAGCGATCCGCAGAGCAGCGTCTCGCTCCGAAGCCCGGATGAACCCGGTTTCGGTCTTCAGCTTCCTTGTAAGTCGATGAAATCTAAAGCAGAGAGCAATAACGGCAGTTAGGCGTGTCAAGCTTGAAAACCTTGTTAAGAGATCGTTCTCCTCGTTTTCCTTTGCTAGGTAGATTTGTACTCGGCCCTGCTCCAAGTCGGCCTCCTCGACCTTTCCTAGTGGTGATACAGGCCACTGATCGGGGGGGTTGATGAGCCAGGAGGGTCCCCTCCACCAAAGCTGCGACGATAGGAGCTCCGACGGCGTTATCCCTCTTGTTGCCAAGTCCGCAGGGTTGTGTTTGGTAGCCACGTGTCTCCAATTTTGAGGCGGAACATTGGACTGCACAGTGGCTACTCTGTGAGCAACAAACGGCTTCCAGGTCGAGGCATGCCCCCGGATCCAGTGGAGGGTAACGCTAGAGTCCGTCCAAGCCGTGATGGTTGCTGGTACGTTCAATCCCCTTTGTACTTCCGCAATTAATTTGGAAAGAAGCACCGCGCCGCATAATTCCAGGCGTGGTATGCTAACTGCTTTGACCGGAGCGACCTTGGTTTTTGCCACAAGCAGTGTGGTCACGCTGACTTCTCCCTTGGACACTCGCAGGTAGACGACGGCTGCATAAGCTCGCTGGGAGGCATCGCAGAACCCGTGCAGATCCAGTTGCGCCGAGTCTGCTGAGTAGTTCGTCCAGCGAGGAATGGCCAGAGCGTCGAGTTGGCTCAGCGTCGTCCGGAAGGTTTTCCATGCGGAAAGCAGTTGGTCAGGTAAGTCCTCATCCCACTCTGCGCCAATTATCCAGAGGTCCTGCATGAGAATCTTTGCGAAAATTAAAACAGGGGCCGCCCATCCCAAGGGGTCGAAGAGACTGGCTACTTCCGAGAGGATACGCCTTTTTGTGTATCGGGAGGGCTCTTTGAGGGGTGGAAGGACACGCAAGGAGAAGGTGTCCGTGGTTGGCCTCCAGACGACTCCCAAGGTACTGACTCCAGTGTGGTCCTGGAACACGCAGGCTTGACTTTCTTCCGCTTCCTGTAAGCTCGGCTTATTCGATGCCCATTTACTCAGATCGAAGCCTCCCGATTGCAGGATGGAGATGACCTGTCGTCGTAATTCCAGAGCTGCTTCCTCGTCGTCGGCTCCGGCAAGGATATCATCCACATACGAATGCCGACGAATTGCGACCGCTCCCAGCGGAAAACGCTCCTCTTCGTCTGCCGCTAGTTGGACCAACACCCGCAGCGCAAGGAAGGGCGCGCAGGCTGTGCCATAGGTGACGGTCTTGAGCCTGAAGTCCTGTACAGGTTGATCGGGTCTGGAGCGCCAAAGTATCCTGGTCCAGTCCGCGTCCGCCGGATCTACTCGAATCTGCCGAAACATTTTAACAATATCCGAGGTAAATACTACTCGAAAAAGGCGCCATCGTGTTAAAATCATCCAGAGGTCTGACTGTAGTTTCGGTCCAGACAGCAGGCAGTCGTTGAGAGAGGATCCCGTGGCGGTGCGAAAGGAGGCATTGAAGACGACCCTGATTTTGCCAGTAGGGTCGTATCGCTTCGCCACAGCATGGTGCGGTAGATAGTAGGCTGGATCCTGAACCGCAGATTCCGGTACCGCCTCCATGTGACTCAAGGCCGCGTACTCGTCCATGAACTGCGAGTACTTGTCTCGCCAGGCTTCGTTGGACGCCAACTTGCGCTCACAGCTGAGCAGCAGCTTTAGCGCCGTCGATCTGCTGGGCTTCAGGGCGAGGCTTGGATCCAATTTGAAAGGTAGGTGCACCGAGTAGCGGCCTGTTTCGTCCCGATAGTGCGTCTCTCGAAAGTGCCGCTCACATTCTCGGTCCTCGGGTGATAACGGGGGCTGTTCGTGTAGCTCCTCGAGCTCCCAAAAGCGCCGAAGCAGCCTATTCGTTGAGTCGTCCGTTTGGCAATGAAGGCTGTGGACGACTGCCTTGCTGCTAGGTCCTTTGGCATCAGAGACAGGGCCTATCAGTACCCACCCAAGAGGCGTACGCCGCGCCGTTGGGGTACCCATCGGTCCAACCCTCGACTCGTCCTGTAACAAAACTCCACAAATATCAGCTCCTAGGATCAAGTCAACACGAGAGGGTACTCCATATTCAGGATCGGCGAGAATCACTCCTTGAAGGTGCGGCCAAGACTGTGGTTGCACTGCTCGAGCTGGGAGCAACGCCGTCAGTTTCCGCAGCACCAATGCACGAACCGACAAGTGAAAGCTTGGGTCTAGACGAGAGCGCAAAGAAAAGGAAACTTCGCTTTTCGCCAGTCCACTCTCATTCTCCTGTACTCCTGAGATGGCGACGCTAACCGCCCGCCGTGGCAAACGGAGTGCTTGAGCTACCCAACCCGATACCAGCGACGTGTCCGAACCGGTGTCTAGCAGGGCTCTGACCTCTAGGTGTTCCCCTGATGGTGCCTCCACCCTCACCTTGGCCGTTGCTAAGAGCGCGGCGGGTCGAGTGGTAGCTGAACAGGCGAAGGAGGCAGCTACGTTTTTTTCTTCGATGTCGGAAAAAACCGCTGGCGGTGGAGATGTTGGAGCGTCTCCTTTGGCCGTGGGTGCACTCTTCGCGGGACTCGCCATCGCATCATGGAGGAGCGTGTGGTGCTTGTTGCCGCACGCTAAGCAGACTTGGCTGGATGGGCACTTGTTCGAGTCGTGGCCAACAGTCAAGCAGTTAAAACACGCCTGTAGTTGTTGCGCTCGCTCCTTCCGGCGCCGTGGTGGGAGCGCCTTTAGCTTAGAACAATAAGCAAAGTTATGATTTCCTGCACACGAGGGGCACTTACGGGGGGCGGGACTCTTAGCCGATGCAGCTAGGACTGCGACTTTAGACCGTTTTACAGACGCCTCCTTGTTTGTTTTAGCCAGGGCACCTTTGGTTGTTGCGGGATGCAACACGGGGTCGGCCGCCTGAGCAGCATCCAGCGCTTGGATGCGATTTTCTAGGAAAAGAGAAAGCTGTCGGAACGACGGGATGTCACGACTATCAGCAAGAGAGGTTTCCCAGGCCAGGTGGGTGGTTTTGTCCAATTTTTGGCTTAAGAAATAAACAAACCACTCATCCCATTGAGGTACCGGTTTGTTTAGCGCCGTGTACGCCCTGATCGATTGTCTGAATGTATCTAACAGCCTTTTCAATTCCGCGGCAGACTGCTGTTGCGCGGGAGGGCAGGAGAGAAGAGCCCGGTGGTGCGAGAAAGACAGAAGACGCAAATTCCCGTACCGCTGCTCCAGATCCTCCCAGGCTCCTTGGTATCCAGCATCGGTGATTGGCGTATTTTGGATGACCTCCGCCGCTTCCCCGGTCAAGGCCGTCTTCAGGTACAGCAATTTCTGTACATCTGGAAGATTGGGAACGCTGTGAACGAGGCTCCGGAAAAGATCTCGGAAACTCTCCCACTGCAGGGGGTCTCCCGAGAAGGTAGGTAATTGTATCTTTGGCAATTGCGGCTTTGCCGGCGGGTCTGGAGGCGCTTGTACTCCACGCGAGGGACCCGCATTCGCGAGGTCCTCTTGGTACTGCGCCATCTGAGCCGCGACCTGAAGATAAGCTTCTTCGATGGTAGAAAAGCGGTCTTGGTCTACGTAAGCACTGTCCTCGGCTTCTTTGAATCGCAACAGTTGACGGTGACCATTTAAAAACGCATCCCAATATCGCTCAAGGAGACCTCTACGCTGTTCCAAAACTGCCCGCGTAATTTTTTCCCTACCCAATTTACAAAGGTTAGTCCAAAACCGTTGGATCCAACGTCCGAGTTCCTCCTGTTCCCGTAAAATATCCACGTATTCAGTCGAAGGCATCGTAATTCTTCCCTTTTCAGATCAGGGCGTTTCCGAAAACCGTTAGAAGCACCGACTGTTGACTCGAAGTTCAAGACGTTCCGAAGCGTTTACAAACACAGGCTCGACCTCAGGAGACAACGCCCAAGCGGGTGACGTCACGGCAGGACCGTTACGGCAAGAGAAATGATTTAAATAAAGAATGGGACTTATCTTTCTCCTTTTGACTCCCTTTTCCGAGGCCTGGTTGATTTGTTCGTGGAGTCCGGTCTTGAGGCGGCGAGTCAATCCTCCCGCGTTGGAGTCCAGCCGCAATTTCCCAGGAATCGTCACTGGCACCACTCACTCGCGACGTGGAAGAACGTTCGTTGACCGCAAAAATCCGGCTCGAAGGACCAATGTTTGATCGTTTCGCCCCTTAACCGGGAAAGGGGTTAGAGAACGGATTCGGCTGAAAGTTTTTGCCGGTGCGCGACCTTGCCGAAGCGATCCCTTCCGATGGAGCAACCGCGTATAGAAAAAGGGTGCGAAATGATCACGGAGGATCTTTGATTCTAAGAATTGTATTTGAATAAAGAGAAATCCAAAGAAAAGTTTAACAGTTCTTGCTAACCGAAGCAGATTGTTCGAATTTCTGCTAAACTTGTACGTTAAGCCGAGTATAAGAAAAGCAAGTATGCGGCGGCATATTTATATTATGGTTCCCTCGTCCCCGCCGTCGCCCGCCGGTCCAGCAGCCCAGTCGGCTCGCTACGTCGGCCAACGGAGCGAGAGAGATGGCTGGAGGCCGGCGGAACGAACAGCAGAGACGAAGGAAGCGATCTAGAAATTTCTAGATGACTCGTTCGACGCTCGAACAAGACCATATATTTAAGAAACTACGATTTATTCATTTGCCTTGCCCCCTTTCCACCTACTAATATTTTTTTCCGATTTAATTATATATAAACACCAAATTTTCACTTTAAAAAAATTTGATCATTTTTGGAACGAAAATTCAAAATTAATGTGTACATTAAGGGGTTAAAGTCACGTATTTCAATCTGCAAAGGAGTCAAGGGTCGGGACTTAGTGCGCGATCTTCTCATCCTTTGATTGTGAGTGAAATCGTGAAGTCAGTGCCCCTGTCGATCTGAGGTTCGCAGGTGAAAACCTCGCTGGACCGGAAGTATTCTCGGAATCCACTGGCTCGCCATTCTGCGATTTGAGAGGCGCGTAAAAGTTAATATTTCACTGTACGGTTAGTAAATTTAAACGTTCTTTTTTTGCCTACGCGCTCCACGATCATGCGACCTTCGTGTGTCGTGATTTCGATGTATGTTTCCGAAACAAATCGAGCGAACAATAACTCGTCCTTGGGAAAAGGCGTTTGAATCATAGACGACCGACGAAATTTTGTAACCGTGCGTCGTGTGTATATTACTTTTCGCATTCCGATTAGAGTCACGATATTGCGTTCTGGTCCTTTTTGGTATATTCTTTTATATTTTTGTATATTTTCTTATATTTTCTTAAGGTGCGTTATTCAACCAGTCATTTTTCCGTATAAAAGAGGACTGAGTTTTTTTTTGAGTCGCGTTAAAGTCGCTCGACTGGTTGTAATATTTTCTTTTGCGTTACCATTCTTGTATTACATTTCTGATTCGTGTAAATCCGATCTGCGTGCTTGGTACGAACTATTGACGATCAACATAGTCAGGTCCGGTGTATGTTGTATTTTTATGATAAGCGCGTCGATTGAACATCTAGTAGATGGAAATTGCGTTCCGTTGATTGTTAAACGCGTAAACTGCCATAATACTTGCGGTGCTTCCACCATTCTGTGATAGGCTCTTTTGCCATACTCCAGTCACTATTTCTCTTTTGAATAATCAGTATTTTGTTACACCGCAAAATTACGTCTCATTACTGACTTCACCGCTCCTTCTGCCTTCGCGAACGCGCAGCGAACGCGAACCACTCCTTGAGAATCGTAGGGGAAATCATACGCTCGTACTACTCGCGTTCATTCTCCTTCGTAAAAAGTAGCAAAAAAAAAAAAAACGTTACACAGTGGATCGTGAATAGTGGAAACGACGATTTCGCGGATTTAACCGATCTGCAATTGAAACACCGGTATATTTGTTCAAGGCATTTTGCCGAAAAAGACAAGGTGGTGCAACTGAAATTGAAGAAGGATGCCGTACCGGTATTGTACGATTTGGGTGAGGATAATGAAGAGCCTACGTGTAACAGTCGTAAGCATTCACCCAAATTTCTTTGTAGATCAAAGAAAAAAGAAATTGATCAATTGAAATTAGCAACGCAGAAATTGCGTAAACTGCTTGCTAGAAAAAATAAACAAATATTAGCATTAAAACGTAAAATAGAGTCGTACGAAATGACGGAGTCAGATTTCGTTCGAAATATAAAAGACAAAGTTTCGAACGAAGTAAAGACGTTCATGTTAATGCAATTGTATCCGCAACCCGTATATTCTGCGGACGAGCAACATATTTGTCTATCAATGCACTATTCGTCACCGAGTTTATTCAAAAAACTTCGTGACGATTTCGGTTTCCGTTTACCATGTGCTATGACAATTAGTAGATGGTTTGGAAGCATTGAAATGTGGCCGGGCATTTGTACGACCTTTTTTACGCAGTTACATAGAAAGGTATCGTGGATGGATAGTTCTGAACGAAATTGCGTGTTACTGTTCGACGAAATAACAATAAAAAAGTCCTTTGATTTTCATTCAAAAAAACAAAAAATTGAAGGCTTCCAAGATTATGGTGCTTTTGGATTTGAGATGAAACCAGGCACGCAAGCCTTAATTTTCATGCTTCGCGGTTTATTTTATAATTGGAAGCAACCCATTGCTTATTTCATAAGTAGCAGCAACATGTCAACTGTAAACTTGTTGAATGTGCTTGATGCGGTAATTGCTGCTGTCTGTAGCGCTAATTATTTATTATATTACTTTAGTACACAATTATTATTTTTTGTTTGTCATAAATAGTATCATTGCATATATATTTGAAATCCAATTAATTGCAGTAAATAAATCGAAAAAAAATTACATACCACGAGCGGATTCGAACCCGAGCCTTCCGAGTATGTATCAGGTACGTTGCCACTTCGCCAGTTCGCTTCTTCTTGAAACCTTTCACTAAGTCTATATTTCTTAGTATAATGAAACTTCAAATACAAATATCTAAAAAACTATTGAGTATCTACGCCTATAATGGTATATATTCGTAAACAGGAGAACAAGATCTATAAGTGTACGAAGTTTCAACAAAATCTGAGACCCGAAGTGCTTGCCTTCTCCTTGTTAGCTTATAAACCGACAGACTGAATCTAGCCGGCAACGCTTGCTTATATGTTTTCCGCAAGATCTTCTAGAACAGTCCAAATCTGTCCTGAAGGAATTCGCCGAAGAATATGTACAATATTGCCCCGAAATAAGCAACACTTTCGTGTCTTGAAATCGCTATCGCCTCCTTTTTGTTTGAAGTCGCCCACAGAGTGAGAGATCCGAGAAAGAGTGAGAGCAGCATGAAAGCCAGAGACCATAGATTGTCACGCTCGAGCGAACAGTTTATCGTGCTTCTTTCATGCGGTATTATGATATGTGCTACCTATTCAAGTTCGAGCTTAAGATCAAAGTCAAGCCGAATAGTGTCCTCCCCTCGTAATAAGCAACTCGCCGGTCCCGAGCAAGTAAAAAATCTAGATATTTTTAATTTCTCACTTTGTTTTTTGTTTAGCTAAGCCAAATGTCTTGGTTCAATGAATTATGAAGCGTTTAAAATATTTCGCGGCGCCCCTGCGAAGAGGTCGCGGCGCCCGGGGGGGGGGCACTGCACTAGGTATAAAAAGCCGTTTCACTGTTTCGACGTCGTTTCAAACCGAATACGTTATTTAAAATTGGACGGAAAGGCTTCAGGTTTCTCGAGAAGCTATACAAATCAATTTATTAAAAACAGAACTAGTCACGTTCTTAGGTTCGATGAAAAGTTGCAATTTCCGGAAATTTTCATTACTTGTAATTTCTAAGAGCATTGATCGATCTCAATGAAATTTTCAGCATACACATAACTTATTTGAATCTACGAAAGGCATATTTTAAATTTTCATTATAGGCTCACATAAAAAAGTTGAAAAATTCCCCGTCACTATTTTTTTTCACGATTTCAACAAATTGTAATTTTTTAAAACTACAAAAGCACATATCCTACGGATAAACTTCCGAATAGCTCCCACACCCGATTTTCTTGACCTTGACATGTTATCAAGGACACCCTCCTGAGTAACATTCAATAGGTTTAAGTAGGCGATTATTGTTTATTCAAAAGTTATTAACAAAGAAAGATTGATATATGCGCCGCAATTTTCCCAGAAATCTGAACATTTCTATGGATATAATGTTTGTTTCGATGATTTGTTTCGTGAAGACGGTTTTCGTGCACCCTCGCCCCAAAAATACCCTAACCTAACCCAACTTTCAATCATTTCAATTATGAAATAGAAAACCGGATTGAAAGTTAGGTTAAGTTACGATATTTTTGGGGTGGGGGTGCAGGAAACAAATCATCGAAAGAAACGTTATATCCATAAAAATGTTCAGATTTCCGGGAAAATTGCGGCGCATATATCGATTTTTCTTTGTTAATAATTTTTGAATAAACAATAATCGCCGACTTAAACCTATTGAATGTTACTCAGGAGGATGTCCTTGAAAATATACATACAGTATGTCCGCGCTAAAGTGTAACAGGTGTTTTATTGCGTAACTATTGATGACACAAAAAATTGTTGATATGGAAATTGCACGGTACAATGCGGCCTATGTTTTGGCGTGAACGAAAATTTATTTGCAGTATTAGTTTAAAAGATATGATGGTCAGGTTTCGTTTTTTAAATGGAAGTATATATTTTTTTCCGGATCATGTGATAATGCTTTTCAAGACGAATTTATTAAGCTTTAATGTATACACCCGATTTTAATTAGTTTTCAAGATATACGTTTACAAATTTCCCGATTTTCAGTGGATACGTCACGATGTGAGTAGCAAGTCGCAGAAGCGACTGTATTGTTCCGGTTTCTTATTCTTTGGGTTTGCCGTTCCTAGCGTAGACCCCCGCTGTGGCACTTACCTTAACAGTAGTGCCGCACAGTGGTCTGAAATCATAAAAACCCGGACTAAATTCAACTTTTTGACTTCTTCCAAACTGTATGAAATTTTGGTAACAGATTCTTAAATGTACATATTACGTTGTGGTATGTATAAATCTTACTATAAGTAATCCAAAATTTGTTAAAAATCTTTAAAATTTGGAAAAATACTCCAGAATGATTATATTTTTTCTAAAATTAACATGTTTTACTACGCGATATTTAACTACAGATAAGGGTTGACTCAAATCTAGTTAACATAGCATTAATTAGTATGCTTTTAGCTACATAAACATGTAAAAATAATAAAGCTGTTAAAGCTCCCTTAAAAGTACCCTTA